TAAACTTATTAGCTTTAAGTTATTATTTAAACTTCTAGACCTTATAATTAAGGTATAAGTCTAGGGGGGGGACAGCTATTTTAGTCTTTAAGTACCTTACTAAAGTAGCCTTATACGCGCCGGCTATAGTCCGGAGGTACCATGCTTACTTTATAGTAAAAACACAGGCAATACCTTTAGTAGTACCCTTAAAGAGGCTAATTTTATAGTATATATTAGCCTTATAGGCTATTAAACTTCGTATAACCTGTGTGTATAATAAGCGTGCCTTAGCTAGGCTGTAGCCCCAGGTTAAGGCTGTAAGCGCCGTGAGAGCGTACCGTTGCCGCTTTAGTTTCGCCTCGAGTTCTTTACGTTTAAAATATTTAATTAATATTAATAGAGGTAAACCTTATATATTATAGCATAAACCTACCAACTTCGAGCCTGTAACTTGCGCCGAGTCACGCCGAGTCATGCTAAGTTTCGTCGAGTCACGCTGAGTTACGCCGAGTTACGCCGAGTTACGCCGAAAACCTAAAATGCCCCCACATGTAGTATTAATATAATATATACTTACAAGTTTAAACCTTAATATTATTAATAAAAAATATATACTTAGGCCTCATAAAATAATAGTCTTATAAATATATTATATAACCTAGAAATAATATATAAGTTATTATAAAGTAAAATAAACGCTTATAACTAGTACTCCTAGTATTATAATCTGCCAGAAGTAGAGAGTATATTGCAGGGTATACAAAGGGTACTAATAGATAAAAGTATGTGGCGTGGCCACGCCTATTTTTTTGTGCGATAAGAATTTCCAACTAGAGCTGGAGGTAATTTTGTGGGCCGGCCATTCATGGCATTGAATCCCCACTTTCCTTGACGTTAATGCTCGCATATCTGACTAGCCAAGGGGTACTTGTACTTTAATATAAATACAATACATTATTGATTACCTACTTAGGTAGGTAATAAACTTAGTATATAAACGTATACATAGCCTAATTCTATTAAAAAAAACCATTATATGACCTATTTTCAGTACACCTAGTGCAACTGCCCAAGCTTTCCAACTTGGTTTCCAAACCCTCCAGTCGACCTTGAATACACCCAACGTTGATCAGCCCACAGAGCAAGTTCCTATAACTTCCCGTAGTTCCGGCACACGCTCACCGTGTTGTGGGCCATGCGGGCTTCGAGTTTTGGGCTGAGCCTTGCCAAGTTCACTGGTGGCCGTGTACAGTCGCATCATGCTACACTGCCTTGGAATTACGGATTTATGCAAGCATTCTAGTACTCGATAATGCCGTTCTTGGTATACTCAAAAAGAAGGAGGGTGACGGGTGCCAATTGTGACATCAGGAGACGTCATGCCATATCCCACACTGCCGTCTCGCAGCGGACAGCATTGCATAACACCTAAGCAAATAGATTGTAAATCGAGTCAGTGGAAGAGACGCAATGGTCCTTTGTCTCATGGACCTACGACCTATATGGCTGGTTTTGCAAGGCGTGGAATGTATAGCCTCGCAAGTGACAGGCCTACGCTGCGCGCTTGGGCACCAATGCATTGTTTCTGCACCAGGCCATCCTCCCTCACCCTCGTCATCATCCTACAATGCGTAAACGCTATGAGCTGAATACCCTGCTGGATTGTTACAGAAAGTTTGTGGAGCCGCGTGGGAGTAATCGGATGATATTGCATACGGCATTTGACGTACAATGCGGAACAACAAGCTGAAACAAAGTTCAAGGAGATTCATGAAGCACGTATAGTTGAAGATACTTAAGGACTGCCCTCTCCTTCAAATTGGGTATTTGGCCCTACACAGTCAGGCATTCCATACATTCCACACATTCCTCGCCTCTCGATTCTCATCCACAGCAAGCAGTCTGTCATTCTCACACTCAGGAACAAACATGAAGACCTCTCCCTTGATGCTCGCCGGCCTGCTTGGCCTAGCAGCTGCTGATCCAATCAAAAAGCAGCAAGCGAGTCCTACTCCTGCTCCCAAGAAGACTACTCCAGGACACCTCGTGCGCATCCCTTGGAAGGTAGACAAAGTCCCATCTGATGGTCTACAGGACATCACATTTCACATATCCATGAAGGACTCTATTCGCCAAAAGGGCTGGTATTTTGCACAAAACTTCGACTTTTACAAATCGGGCGATGCATATATCGGAGTACAGCCACGCCCGGCTAATTCCAAAGGCCCCGCTGACCTCGCCGCATTTTCAAGCTTCGTACCTGGAACAACGTCGACAGACCCCAACTGCAGGTCTGGTGCTGATCGAGGACCCGGTGTCACCTGCGCCGTCCAAATCACCGGCACCGATGACCACTCCTATGACCTCAGGGTCGAAAACATAGGCAACACAACGTGGAGAGGGACCATGGTGAATACTGTTTCCAAAGTGGAAACTCACATCGGATCGTGGACTCTGCCGGCAGGGGCAGGGGGGGTAACGGGAGAGTATCAAGGGTTCGTGGAGTGGTGGCCGTTCAATGACCGTTCAAAGCCACCGACCTGCAACTTGTTGAATCGTACTACGGTAGCATATGGGCCGCCCAGGACTTCAACGGCAAATGCTGGTGCTGGGCGCTTGGGCAATCTGTACGAGACCTTTGAGTGCACAGGCAAGATTAACTACAAGACCCAAAAGGTCGGAGATAATGTTGAAATCAGCGTTGGGTTTTGAGGGGATACTTTATCGCCGGTTATAGGGAGTAGTAAAAGACAATATGGTTTTGAGGGCCTCCCAAATGGCAGAGAATGGTAGAAGGAATCACGGAGCATGGAAGCCCTAGGGTTTTTCATCCAGCTAGGCAACTGGCTAGCTAGCAACCTAGTATGGTTTTTTTCCCATAGGCATGTATTGATAGTTCAATGCGATCCATAGCTGCTGAATCGTGACGGGGTTTCCTCAGCAAAGTCTCCCATAATGATCACACCGGTTCAATGACCTGCTGCTACGAACTCAGAGCAGAAACCACAATTTTATAACCCAACAACAATGACTTGCCTTCTGCGGCGGCTTCTTCCTAACTTGCGGTAGGCTGCGGGGAAAAAATGTCGGCACAAAGCCAACTCCCCGGAATATCCCGCATAACTACTATTTGTTGTACGATAACTTGCAGCTAGATTCGACATGACTTTTTAGTATTCGCTGATGGATTTTCACGTATCTACCCGTTAGCAACAAAGTGGACTAGCCACTTTCTTTTTCGGCATATATGATATATCCGCCGCGGGCTCCAGGTCCATATATGAATACACCAGACATCTTCATGTAAGACGCCATGTCGACTGGTCAGGAGTCAGACCCTCGAACAATCAACACCAAACGCTCGCTGTATTGACAATATTTTGGCAGGTCCACAAGATTCCAAACGGCTCCAGGGTCCAGCGACAAAAAGAAGTCATCAATATGGCAAATCCATTCCTCAGTTCGATCCATAGCCGCCAATCGTGACACGCTGGCCTTTTGCTGCCCCAGTAGGGAAGAGCAAACTAACGCCCAACGCGAAACCCACAGCTGAGTCAGCACCGGACATCTTTAGGCTTTTAAAGTCTCAACTGGTTCCACGCCCGAAACTGACGCAAGTGGAAAACGCATCGATGCTTTTAGGCATTCAACGGCGTGGTAGCCGCCCGGTAGACCGTGCGAGACACACGTCCCCGCTGCGTTTGTGCTGTCTACTGAACTCAAAGGGACTCATGTCGTCAACAAACGCGCCAAAACATTCGTCTTCTGTAGCCATCGCCAGTCTGGCAGTTTCTCGCCGGACACGCCTCCGCCCGCTCCGACTGCCGCACGGCGACGGCGCCGACGCGGCTTCAAAGGCGCCCCAAGCAATTGACTCTACACACCCAACAGGTCGTCCCAGCAGACGTCCACCATGGCCGACGATGTGGCGGTCAAGCTTGCGGTCCTCATAGACGCGGACAACGCCCAACCCAACATGGCGGGCGTGCTGCTCGCCGAGATCGCCAAGTACGGCACCGCCTTTGTGAAGCGCGCCTACGGCGACTGGACGGGCACCAACCTCCGCGGCTGGAAGGAACAGCTCCTCGAGAACTCCATCCTGCCCATCCAGCAGTTCGCCTACACGCAGGGCAAAAACTCGACCGACGCCGCCATGGTCATTGACGCCATGGACCTGCTGTACTCGAACCGCTTCGACGGCTTCTGCCTCGTCTCCAGCGACAGCGACTTCACGCGCCTGGCCTCGCGGATCCGAGAGTCGGGCCTGCTCGTCTACGGCTTCGGCGAGCGCAAGGCCCCCAAGGCCCTCGTCAGCGCCTGCGACAAGTTCATCTACATTGAGAACCTGTCCCAGAACGTCGACTTGGCCGGGGACATTGCTGTCCGGACGCACAGGGTCGCCGGGACCCCGGCCGCCAAGTTTGTCACGGCCCAGAACCTGATCCAGGAGGCCATAGAGGCAAAGTCGGATGACGACGGCTGGGCGAACCTCGCCGACGTCGGGTACCTCATCACCAAGTGGCAGCCGGACTTTGATGCTCGCAGCTTTGGATTTCTGAAGCTGAGCCACATGATTCGCTCGGATCCGTTGTTGGACGTTACCAAGCGGTTTCCGGGTGAGGGGAAGCCCCCGGTGGTTTATGTCCGGGGCAAAAAGCGATCCAAGTAAGATGGCGTCTTGACTTGCCGCACGGGGAGTATGTAGAGAACCCTTTTATCTCGGCGGTTGATGCCGGGCTGTGCAGAGTGAGCGCTGTGCTGTGTAGTACGGCATGCCGGCCTTTGTTGGCGCTTGTTGACTGCATTGGCATCTTTTATAACCCCGGCATCTTGATTTATCCACTGGCGCGGGTTACGTGGTGAATTCAAAGTCGAGTTCCTGACGCGCCACTGGACGACGCGGCAAAGTGCTATGCCCAGACTGAGATATCCCCGTGTCCACGGTGCCCTACATCATAGCTAAGTAGCCTGTACAGACTTTTGTTGTTGGCTTTGACTTGACCGTGCTGTTCTTGATGTTTGGCCATCTACTTGCTATGCCAGCAGCTAGTTATTTTCAACCCGAAAAGGCTGTCATTGATGCTAGTGGTTACTCCCTGTGCTTTATGGATTGAGTCTTATAATTAAATATTAATGTTTTCCCACATTTGAATGGCTAGTGCAGCCGTAATCTCCCCAGATATTGCTAGGTTTCCCGTGAGGTGTAGTCGAAATCTACCGTGTCGAGAATCTCTCCTTGGCCGAGCACTCAAGTCTACCTACCGACCTCATCCTTGTAGTCGTACCGAGTAGCTAATAAATTGCAAGACAGCCCACCGAAATTATACGCAGTAAGACCTTTATAACTGTTGCCACATCGCTCGAAAAGAAACATCCTTCCACGTTGTACATGGCAAAACCTAAAAGTGCACCGCTACCAGTACCTTGAATATAGTTATTCCACGACGCTAATATCTGCAGTGACTAGAAGTCTCTCTGAGCCTGATCTGTGTCTTTCATCCAAATTTGGCACTCCCTCAGACTCCTCGTCAGGTCACCGCAGACTTCTTGCAGACGTCATCACCTCGTTTATGCGTATATAAGTTACCCTTGGGAGGTTTATCCCCGCTCGACACTCTGACCTCCGTAAAAGCCTTTCCATACCGAGATATCTGTTTTAGCGGATACACTACACCTTCACCCCTCATCTCGGCAGCAGTTCCTGTACATCGCTTGGTGCGAGTTCCGGGGGCCATCGGGTGAACGGGGTGAAATCGAACCCCAAGAGCATAAACGGGGTGACATTGAAGCAACAAGAATCTACAAGTCCACCAAATATTCAGCCAAGTATTTACGGCATAAAGAGCGCAATGAGGAAACGGACAGACTCCTGCCACACCAAGACCCCTTGGGGAAACCACGGTCATAAGCAGCTGGATTAAGTCTCTGACAGATCGTTACAAGCGCCAATATAAAGCCAAGATGGACCATTTGGAGCACACATCACCACTGGGTAGGTTACTTGACCAATTTGCATACCAATGGCTGAGGCCTAGAGTGAATCGAGCGGTGTTGCCCATAGGTGCATAGTCTCACTACGTGGCGCGCACGTACAAAGATGCTGACCATGGCGGTGGTGCTGGTGCAGTCGCCCAGCCATAACCTTACCCTCTTAAAATTTTAGCCCATGAGATGTAGTATAACTGAAAATACATCAAGGCGCCAGTGATGGCATGGTTCGAGGTTGCTTCGTATCGTTCAGGTCGAGTCTGTCAAATACGTGGTCCCTTTGTAGGATCAACTCGAAACCTAGTTGTCAGAGGATCATGAGCCGGGCATGTACAGTTTTAACCATGCCTCTCTCCAGTAGTTGTGTTTGTCTGCCTCAGACAACGCCCTCGGGTGATGACAGGTCCCTGGGCCGATCTGAGTTGGCAGGCTTACGGCTTCCTTAAATGCAAATATCCGGGCCATTTTGTGACTCTAAAATTGACATGTCCTACAATATTCGCTCCGGACATGGAGGTTAAACTATTTTGGCCAGAGTTAGAATATGACAACGTGACATTCGTGTAACAGCAGCTTGGAAGACGTCCCGGTGCGCGAGAGATCTTGGCAGCTTAGGAAGTCATGACATTGTCTCAGATCTCTTTGTTTCACAATTTGCTGAATAATGCGTGTAAATTGTCGCTAGTTCTCTCTGGCGTAGGTGGTAGCATCAAGACGCTTCCAATGACTGCCACACAGCCGGGTAATGAGACCAACCTGGGCGCGGCGGTAACTGCCCGGTATCAGACTTACGAATGTATCAATCTTCTTGTTTCTGTTTTTTACAATTTTCAAGACATAAAGGCACTAAAATTTAAAGCTAGGGAACTCTCGCCTCCGCGGCTGCCCGGTAAGCGGTGTCTAGTTTCAAGAACGTAGCGCCTTCATGATGGAAACTCGGGTTGTCCTCGGGTACTGTTTCCCGGCGGTAGATTGACCTACATGGTCTACAGTTTCTAGGTTCTAATGCTCAACGACTAAATACTTCCGAGTGGTTCACGTCTGTTGAGCCACCAGAAGTGGAGGAACCTCCACCAGATAAAGATCTATCATGTCTGGTATCTTGGAGCAATACCAAGCATTGCCATGCATGACTTTGCAACTTGCCAGACAAGTTCAATGCCGCACACAGAACAGGAACCACAATGAGCAAATAACAATGCTAAAACAGTGAAACCGCACAGCTTCCTCATTGCAATCGGTCTGTACCATGGCGGCCGGGTGCGATTCGAGTCCAGCTACAACGGAAACTGATGCTGCAATACATGTGTGACGAGGAACTGGGCCTGCTTTCCTCGAAGCAGTGGACACACATGGCATAACAGCTCTTTGCAAGATGCGCTTGATGCTTACAATATTTAGTAGCGCCTCTATGTACCGAGTCCGGGGCTGTACATGTGTGTGTACACGCCGAGTATATAAAAAAGAAACAGCGCCATCGCCCTTCAACAGCCGGTCCCTGCTAACCCAACGCCACAGATTGTTATTCGCCCTAGCCAGCTTTTATGTGAGCATGTTGGGACTAAAACCATCGCTGATTTCTCTCCACGTGCCGCACCAGTCTGTTCCTCCAGGAAGCTGACAGCTCTCGCGGTGTTGGCCGGGGATGCTGGCGAAAGCAGAACTGCATCGCCACCAGTTACCACCACAGCACGTTATCCAAAATCCGTCTTGGTCGAACTGATCCGGGCTCATCGAGTTGACAAATCCCCATAGCAAGTGCCGCCAAAGACCAATCGGGAAGTACGTCCCAACGAGTGTGTGGTGTTTATGAGAGCTATTTCCGCGCCCAGAAATACAATATTGTGCCGCATGATCCCTAATAGGCCGCCACGGGCAGATACGTCGTCGATACGAGGTCGCAGGCAGGGTTTGTCGCAAAGATTGTACCCCGTATATCGTGTATGCATGCACGTGGCGGTGACAGGCCTCACTTATACGACCGACTCTCGGAGCGGCTGAAGGTCATCTTACTCGGCAGTCAGCCTGCATGATGCCATACAAAGACGACGAATCCTACCAATTTCACCACGGGCAGCACACGTCCCTCAACCTTCTTCTTCTCCAAATATACTCTACTCTGCAGAATAGGCTCTCACACCACTACCACGGCCATGCCTTCACCCGCGCTGTTCGTCTGGGCTCTGCTCCCATTTACACGGGCTCTGCAGATCAACAGCCCGGGTCATGCAGCGACGGGCTCCGACGTGACGGTGACCTGGAGCCATGTTGACACCGACCCTGCCAAGTTCGACTTGAACCTTTGGAACGGCGCCGCGCAGAGTCCTGCCGTCAACAGGCTTCTTGCTTCTGGTGTTCCTGTCGCTGCTGATGCCGTGCGCGTGTCGATTCCCTGCGGTATTCCTTCCAGCGGCGCGTACCAGCTGTGAGCGGACATGAGACGAATTCCAATGACGGAGGGTTGCTAACCGGCTTGCAGGCTTGCCGTCAACGGCGCGAATTCGTCAGACGTCTACGCGCGGAGTGGGCAGTTCTCTATTGCGGTTGTTAGTTGCACGACGTCGGCGACAAGTACGGCAAGGACGACAAGGACAAGTTTTCGTGGTGTACAGACAGACGCAACAACTGGCATCTAGCTCGACCTTGACAAACGTGACGAGCACCCCTAGTGGACGAGGTAGGTTTGGGGAGACACGGGCCGGACATAAATGAAGAGACATGTAGCGCAAGTGCTAATTTGTGTTGCCACATGCAGGCACAAGTATTCCCATGGCCGGCGCGGCTCAATGCACGGCGCAGTGGTTGTCTATAGCTGGGGCTTTCATGCTTGCCGTGGTGGCGTTTTAGTTGTAGATGAATCGATGCGACCAAGGTTCATCGTTGATGCTTCGATGTCCGTCCGTTCAATGTTGGGTTTCGTCGTCCGCCAAGCGATGATCCATGCCGTAAACAGAGGGCCAGAGCACAAGTGAGACAATCGCCGTCCGAACATTGCCATATCACCTGATGCCGGATCCCTCATCCGGCCAATGTACGTAGTACGTACATCCCAAGACACAAATATCCAGCCATGTCTCGTAGACGAACCGGTATCACTATCCATCACCCGGCTAATATCCAGGAATGCGAAACATGGGCATGGCGTGGCGGCCCAATCCACGATGCCCCGTCTTCGCAAGCACGACCAGATCAATTGGCTTCAAATCCGCATGCCTCGCGACGTCATGACGCTAAACAAGGCCGGTCGAGCATGACGGACCAAATTCCCAAACGCCCGGCCCTCCCTTGAATCCAAGCACTCGCGACGCGCACGCCAGGGAGACCATGCAAAGCCACGCGCCATTGGCCGGAATGAGGAGCAGCATCCCAACTCTGGCTCAAGATGCAAAAAAGGCAAGGGGGGCATGATGGAAATTTTAAATCGAAAAAAAAGTTCCCACATGCATGTCCCTCCGCAAAAGCCGGCACTAGCTGCAGATGTCACTTGATGCTTGGTGCCACATGGTCTGGTCTGGTCTGGTGTGAAATGGGCAAGCACAAGGGGGAGATGAAAACAAAACGAGCCAGGCATAACAAAAAAAAAAAAAAACAATAAAAGACAATGGAAACAAAAGCAGCCATTTCCTTCCCTTCCCTTCCACCCTCGCCTCGCCTCGTCCGTCCATCGAGCCACGACTGATCAATTGATTGACGACATCGACAGTCGCCATGGCGCCGCTCCCCAAGTCCACCACCCGCCGGCACACCGTCTTCCTGCTGTGCCTCTTCTCCTCGCTGCTCGTCAGCTTCGCCCTCTTCACCTACTTCATGCTCATGCCCTTTTCGCAGTTCACCACGCACCACCGCGCCAGCGACAAGTCGCACGACTTGCACGAAGACCTGGCGGCCGCCGTCGCCACGAGCGCCAGGCGCGTCGACTTTGCCCTCGGCGACGCACACCAGAGCCTCGATGACGACCGCCTGTGGCGCGAGGACCTGCTGCCCCCGAACGGCGGGTACCTGACGCTCGCGCGCACGCCCAACGACACAACGGCCGCCAGGCTCGGCGTCGCCATGTTCCACCAGCTGCGGTGTCTGGCCGCGATCCGCTCCGAGATGCAGCGTCTGCAGGCACGCGCGCGTGGGGGGGCCAAGCCCGACGCCGACGACCAGGATCGGGATCGTGCATTAGCTTGCTTCGACTACCTGCGCCAGGTCTGTATTGACCCCATCAATGTTTCCCCCCGCTTGGAGAATTGACCGTGTTTGGTGCTGATATGAGACAAAACGATGTAGTCGCTCTTGTGCCATGCCGACGCGACCATCGAGGCAGACGACGGCGGGACGGGCGTGGCTGAGGGCATGGGCGAGCGGCAGTGCAGGGATTGGCGTATTTTGTACGAGGCGTCGACGAGGTCGGATGACGAGCCTGTCTTGCCCGACGACTTGCGCTGAGTTGGACGCAGACTGCATTTACGTTTACTTTGGAGTACGGGTATAGATAGACTAGAGTAGCGACGGCCACCTTGTCGCGCAAAGCAGCAATACAATCATTTTGTCTTGTACCATGGCGCGCTGGCATCACGACATCGCAAGACGGGCACAAGCACCAGTGAGGTGACCGGCTTCTCATTACCTCAAACCTTGACGGTGCTCGCGCCAAGGAGGTCGTCTGGCGACCTAATAACTACATGTACATGCGAATCATCAAGATCGTGCATCTCATCAATCTATCCGGGCGCTTCTCCTCACCCCGAGACCATGCAAGTTCTCGTTCCTCCCAAACAAAGGAAAAGAAACGTGTTTTTGTCGGCAATCTTCATGCGAGAGGCCACCCAAGAGCAATGCCACACTCTCTTGCCTTGGGCGTGCAAGTTGCCAGCCATCTATCCTGTAGACGGCAACAAACCACACCCTCGGCCGGTGGCATAGCCATTGAATGGAGACATTCTTTCATTCCACAAATTGTCAAAGTACCGTCCAGTTGGTGTATCATGCAAATAAAAAACCACCAATCTTGACCAGCATTACGAAGGAAAGAAAAAAAAACAAAAAAGACTCCATCTGTCTGTTCTGAAAGCAGTAAGCAAAGCAGTACGTAAACAAGGGCCAACACCGGCAAGGGGGATTCAATCTGGGCCCAAAGTAAAGGTGGACTGTAACGCGATGCAAGAAAACAATGCAACAGAGCCACCAGAGCCATTGCTTCCCATCTAAACCAATTCAATCTGTTGTCTAGAAAACCAAGTGGCATCACAAGAACACGAAACAACAATGTCCTAATACACCACAGTAGCAAAGCAAAAACGCCAGAGTTGAACAAGTGAAAACGCCCCAGAAAACGCAACAAGCGTCAGGGATACCGAGTGGAGATGCGGAAAAGACTAAAAAGAGCAGCGCGCCAAGAAAAATAGTAGCGAGAACCTCCCCAAGAACACAAAAAAAAAGAAATTCACAAAAAGGGTTGAGCGGAGGACCAAGGTCCGTATACCACGGCGGGAATTACTTCCTCTCGACTCGGTAACTCATCAAATTGTCAGCCGGCCACCTCGCAAGAAGCAAACAAGAGAGCAATAACAAGACAACTCCCTAAATGGTAAGACGCCAATCTGATGAGGGGAGTTCGAAACTCGGTTCAAAACGCCATGCGGATTTCCAAAAAGTCCACACCAATCTCTCCTACTTCGTGACCTTTTTTTTTTTTTTTTGGTTTCCCTCTTGGGGGCTTTTGGATTGTTGACTTCTTTCCGACTGTTCATTCCACATTCTGATCCTCCATCTTTGTAATCCCTTTTGATTTGTTACGCAAGCACGATATATCCAGAGACTTGGTTTGTGTTTGACCTGCACGTGCTGCAGGTCAACCAGCCCTTCAGACCGTCTTGGGCGTGCGCGCGCTCGTCACGTCAATGACATCATCCAGGTGATTGCACATGGCCACAAACAAGTCAAAGAACAGTTTGCTGCCACCGGCTTCCATCTCAGCTTGCATGGTCCCGCTCCGCTTGAACGTCTTGCGGCAGCGGATGATCAGGGCGAGGTAATGAGCGCGCAGGCGGCTATCCGAGTCGGGCGTGTGGGCATAGGCGTACTGGGCGGACCGCAAGATGGTTGACACATCGATGCCAGATTGCAGGCCTTGTTTGCGCAAGGCCAGACGCTTGAGCTCCTCGAGGCCGTATCGCTCCGCGGCACAGTAAATAACCGTGTCGCGGAGGACATCGGCCCCCACGCTGTATACGAAAACGGTGGCGTCGGGAACCGTACCTGCGCGGCCACCTCCAATTTCGGGGTTTGGTGACGTGTGAGGAGTCCGCACACGGTCCTCGAGATCCCAGGAGTTGCGGGACCTGTTGTGCAACAGGCGCGGGTAGTAGTCGCCCTTGTAAAGATACTCGAGAATGGCGGAGAAGACCTCGGGCTCCTCGTCGGGGAGAAAGATCCTCCTGCTCTGCGCATCGGGGAAGTTGCCTCGGCAAGCCGCGTCAAAGAACGGCGACTGCCGGAGCACGTCCTCGTGCGCTGCAAAGAGCCTGCCCTCGCGCCCAACCGTGAGAGTCACAATGGGCGAGGGCGTAGTAGACTTTTGGGCAATACGGTCTTGCTCAGTGAGCGATCTTTGCAGTTTCGATAGCTTCGTAGGATCCCGGACAGAGCCCGGCTTCTTTAGTCTCGCAGACTTGTCCACGCGGCTCTGGTCTTGCGACTTGAAGCTGCGTTTGCTGAACATGGCTGCGGTGCTGTGGGATTCGATTTGACGGCGAGATTTCGATTAGGAACTAAAGAGCAGCTCGGGCAGGACGGCGCAACGCGGCCGAGGGCAGACAAGGAACGGCCACTGGAAAGGGAGAAAATGAGCGTCTCTTGTCTGGTCAGGGTCGGAAGGCGTCGGCACTTCAGTATCTGGAAATTGTCCTCGACACCGGGCGTTGCGTTTTGATAACTTGGCTAGAGAGCGACGAAAAGAGCGAGGAGGCGCGGGTTGGGGGACGGGTAAAAGAGTGAATGACGCACAAGGGGATTGACAGGCGGGTCCGGGAGAGGAAATACCTCCTTGAAATCAAGACGATAGATCCTCGTGTGAAGCTTTGCGACCCTACTTATGGTTGTGAGTGGGGAGGAAGGGGAATCGGAAATAAGGCTGCGTGGGAGATGTGACTTATTTGTACCCAGCCGGGGTCCCAAGTTCCCAACATCAGGACTGGCAGGGATCCTGCATTCTGCGCCAGCATTCTGAGGGCCGCCAACTGGGCCCATGTCACCGCCATGCATGTGAAATGTGAACAAGACGCATCCCTTTGGCTGGCTTCGTTCACGACCACACCATCGACCACGCATGCCGTGTCACACCAGCCTCCAAAGTCACAGCCTTGACAGTCTGCCACACTGTTTGTCGTCCTAAATTCCCTCACCCGTCTTCAGAATGCATTGCTTTGGGTGCCAATTATTTACTCTCGCTTATGCTCATCATCCCAACTACAGGCCCAACTTGAGTGAGCCGTCCGAGTCCCAACTTCCATACTACTTCCACGTGAAGATATCTGCATGCGCGCCAACAGTGGAACCTGCGCTGGCTTGGTGCCCGAGCGCCAGCACGCCCATTCAGGTCCCGGGGTGATCCTGCAGCACATGTTGTACATCTACCCGCCATATCAACTACTCGAGGCATCAATCATGCGTCCAAAGTTTAGCCGTAGCTCACTCCAGCCTCACATCATCAGGCACCGCTCAGGTACGTCACCGTCTGAGTTCTGAACCACGAGACACTCGGTCTCAAGTCAGGTCCATCGACAAGACCTGTCAAACGAAACTCACGTGGAGACGACCCATTCTCCCTGTACCTAATTTTGTGGGACTCCGTGGCGGCTTTTGGACCTTGATACCTAAACAGGTAACCATGCACTTGTACCAGGTAATGAGAATGCAGAGGTCAAATCTTAGGTCAATAGACTACGGACTGCAGGGTCATATGAGATGCCAGTTTAGAAAATACTAATCCCCATTTAATAAGTTCCTTCTGTTTTTATTACTCTTCGCCGTGGGAAATTCTCAGGGGGTTCGGTCTGGGCATAGTGCCCATGCTCGTGTCGACGTCAACGGCGTCATCGAGCTCAGGAGTCGAGGCTTTCGTTGGCGCCACGAGACTCAGAACGTCGAGTAAGGCTTTCACGAATACCAACAAATCCATGCATCAGGGCGAACACTGCAAAATCTAGTTAGTGCTCCTCCGGGCACGTGGTTCATGAAGTGTTGATAACTTACTCATAACGGAGAGCCCTACGAATCCGGTGCAGTAGAGTGACACGGCTTCTTTGGACCCAACTTGCTCCTCGTCCATCCAGAAAAAGGGAAACTTGCCGGAGACGGACTTGCCAATACCGCCCCAAACCAGATAAAGCCCAGACAGGGCCGCCGTGCAGAGAATGGATGATCCGATAGCCTGGTGTACGGTTAGCTAGCTTCAGGATACACTGATGCCTGAATGCCCAACGGAAACTTACATGAGGTTTCTTGATGCTATTGAAGAAGAGACATTCGATAGTCATTATGCAGGAGTTGATGGCATGCATATTGATCTTCATGAATCCCGTGAACCATCCTTCGCCAAACAGGTCGCTGACTAAAGTAAGTGTGAGCTGACAGGATAATAAACTACCAAGATCATTATTTCAAGATGGCATACATGGTGTGTCTGGAAGAGTAGCCGCTGAAGACATGTTCACAGAAGCGCCAATCACATTGGCAGCGACTTTGGATGCCACATTGGCAGCATCACCTGCGTCGTGCTGCCTGGTAACGAACCAGTAGATGGTGGAGTTCATGAAGCAAAACACGGTGGTTGCAATGTAGAACAAGTTGAAGTGGAATTGCTTCCGCTGGCTTGCCATATTCCGCGGTAAGGACATGGTCTTGATGATCCATCTCTCGGCTCGGCCTTCTACCTCGTTCGGTTCGGGGTAGTACAGGTGAGTAAATGTCCACGCCTGACAGAATTGTTAGCGCTGCCGAAGTTTTTCAATAGAGCACAAACAGAAAGACTCACAAACGTGATCAAATGGTACATGAAGGTCATGGCATAAGATATGAGTGAAAAGTCGAACATGTTGGCCAACGGACTGTCTTCTGATTCTTCCACATTCATCTTGTAGTGCCCCGTCATGACTGACGTTGCCACAAGGTACGCGAGGACGCAGCCACGAAGGCCGACTAAAGCGTTCTGAGGAATCCATCGCCACGGGGAATGGCTGCACCGGAGGAAGACGGGCTGGGTCCAACTCGATTAGCGATTTCTCATGTGTCATTGGGGTAGAGAATCACTTACGTGGTCCTGCATGATGACAGGAGCAGGGAGGCCATTCTGACTGAGAAGTGGAGTGGACGACATTTTCAGATGGGTGGCCGGAGACGATGCCGTGAAGAGAGACACAGAGAATTGAGAGGTAAAATACGGGGTAGACTGAGTCTAAAATCTGCAGAGACCAAAAACAACCAGCAGACGCCGGGCTGGCAAGCAAATGAAGATGGATGGGTGTGAATGCGAGGGTGGGAGATGAGATGGCGGCTGTGGGAGAGAAGAAGAAAAAAGAAAAGACGAGAAGAGACGAAGGGCGAGAAAGTAGCGCTTGTTCGTTCTCCTTGGGGATTGTTTATCACAGGGAAAGTGGTCCTAGGGAATTGTTGTGGGAAGGAACCAGGTGCTGTCGGCCAAGCTCCGCCTTCGAGCAAACTGAAGGTCAATCCAATTCACGGTCTTCAACCCCAGCTGCTGGCAGGGGTTTCTTTTTTCTTCGCGTTTCTTACTGCTGTGACAATACTAGATCAGCGAGACTATTTATCAGTCATCCATCATTTGTATCCTACACATGATATCGTACATGCTACAGGCTCGGCCAGGCTGGACGTTTCAAAATCCCACTCCATTAACCACTCAGTGCTTCCTGCTGCTGCTCTCGCTCCCCTCCTTCTTCATGCCCTCGCAGCCTGTCAGCTTGCCAGCCAGTTCCTCGGGCTTTCCATATCCTTGGGAAGCATCCCTCCTCTCTCCTGCTGTTTTCATAGCCGATATGCCCGCTGCCTTGTCTTGCTCGCCTGACGACTTCCAGGGATGCGATCCAGTCATGTCCCCAACAGCCGCCTGCGAACCCTGTCAGTGGTCTGCGAGGCGGAGGATGGCTCTGGTGTTTCATGCATTTTAAGTACTTACCTCTGCAATTCCTTTGGCATACTGAACATGGCCTTGAACAAGGCTAGGCTCCTGGGGAATGTTTTCGGCCATTATGGTCAATGTCGCGTCAAGTGTTGCGTTAGTCTTGGTTCAAACGAGTCAAGTTCAGTCTGGGTGAGCTTGCTGGCAGCCTGATAGAAGGGACCAGTGAGTCACTCTCATAGAAACTCTTGCGAAAGACTGAGCTTTCCACCCTTTAAATACCTGGACAGTCGAACACCGATCCCCTCCCTCCAGACTCTCCATGACATCACAAATCAATCTTGAGATCGAGGTGGTAAGTGCTGCGGGACCCACGGGCGTCAACCATCGACTGCCCGAAATGTGGCTGCATTTGTGGCTAGTGCACCAATTGATCCAACGACTGAGGCTGAAGCTGGCTGCCAGCTGGATGAATGTGTGGTCCGTGCGCACTCCGTTCCTGGGCAGGGCCACCATGTCCTGATGTCGAGTTCCGAAGACGCCAGGCTGTCACGCATCGCATTCCCAAAGGTTCAACCGAGCATTTGGCGCAGCTGCAACGCTGCTACGACCCTAGGTTTCGTCGACAACCCAAGACGACTGCTCGAAATCCCTCTTCAGTATATCCACATTGTTTGATCAAGATGTTGTCAAGTCTCCAGAACCCGCGGCAAGCTGCTGCGCAGCTTATGAACTTTGCCATGATACTTTCAACCGCCTTCATGGTACGTCTAGGTCACACGGCAAACCACCCAATTCCTTTCATGACCAAGTTTCTGGCATGACCGAGCTTTGAATGGACAATTTACTGATCAAATGGTAGATGTGGAAAGGTCTTTCAGTAGCTACCGACTCCCCCTCCCCGATCGTCGTCGTCCTCTCGGGCTCCATGGAACCAGCTTTCCAACGCGGTGACCTCCTCTTGTTATGGAATCGAAACGTGTGGCAAGAGACGGCGGTGGGCGAGGTTGTCGTGTACAATGTGAAGGGCAAAGATATCCCCATTGTCCACAGAGTAGTTCGCAAATTTGGAACTGGGTAGGTTTGCTTCTGGCGCGGCGGTCAGAGGACGGCATGTGCTGACCGATAATTCTGCAGGGACAAGGCGAAGCTTCTCACCAAAGGAGACAACAATAATGCCGACGACACAGATCTCTACGCTCGTGGCCAGGACTATCTAGAGCGTGAGGACATTATCGGCAGCGTAATCGGATACTTTCCATTTGTCGGATACGTCACAATTTTGTTGTCAGAACACCCTTGGTTAAAGACGGTCATGCTGGGTATCATGGGCTTACTGGTGGTGATTCAGAGGGAGTAAAGAGGGGCAGGGCAGATTCTGTACTACACTTGGGAAAATACTATGCAATGCTGGCACTAGGACATTAAGTCCCTGGAATCTTTGACAGATCCAGGTCATTGAGAGCCACCACAGGCTGAACTGCAGCAGCAATGGATGGGGGGAACAAAAGAATTGCAATATACAACTTCATCAGAGAGCCGCGGCCTTCCGAGATTCTACCTCACGAACGAATGACTAACTGCTGCACTCGCACTAGTTGACGCAACCCAGCCAGCAACCGAACCTGTTGGTGGTATCCCGTGCCATCTGGCATCTTATGTAGATTATCCGCTAAACGCCCGTCCAACGTCGAGTGCCGAGTCGAGATGGTGTACGATGTGCTGCTCTGGAGCCTTTGGGACAAGATGCATGTCTTGTCTCATCTTTGTGCGCTGGTAAACTTTTGGATTCGTTTACCAGACAATGCCAGCAGCACAGGTTTCCACAGTGCACAGCTAACTACACAACAAAAGTGTATCCATGTAAAGATGCGAACCAGCCAAATCACTCTCATCACACAACCTGTTCAATTCAACTATAGCCGCACCAGTCGTCTTCTTTGTCGCTTTAGTTGCGACGTCACAATCGCATTGAATGTCAGTACAGGGTACGTGGAAAGACAGCACTAACTTCCCAGAATCCACATGAAACGCAAGAATTATGGGTGGGCAGTGCAAATTACAATATAAGTGGAAAATCTTTGGCTCGGAAGCCAGTTGTCGTAAAGACGCCCGGTTAGCTCAATCGGTAGAGCGTGAGACTCTTACGAGTACACGAAATCTCAAGGTTGCGGGTTCGACCCCCGCATCGGGCTTTTCCTATATTAAAAATGATTGAGATGTAGTCGGCTTTCTTTTTTGGTTCTTTTTCTGTCCTTTTTGCCGTTCTTTTTTCTTTCTTTAAAGGACCAAAAATTCTTGGGTGAATCGTCTGCAAATCCGTTCCATGTCTCACATCTAGCAAAGAAATTGACGATATTTTCGCCATCACACTAGGCACATCAAGGCTGTGTGCAATTCGTGGACTGGCGCGCCCCGTCTCCTTCCAAGAATCGTTCTGCCGGCCCTTTCTGAACCCATCAAACAAGGCGCGAAATACACCACGCTTCAGCCCTTCGCTCTCGTCCACGGCCGCAATAATGCCCTCTATCCTGGCTCTTTGCTGCTCCTCATAGGCCCCAAACGCCTGCTGCAGCCCCAGCTCGGCAAATACCTGCTTCACCTCGTCAACCCGAGACGCGTCCTTCTTCCCGTACCCCTCCAGCAGACGCTGTCGCTGCGCGTCGTTTGCCCGCGACAAGGCCTCAATGATGAACCAGGTACACTTGTTGTCCTGGATATCCGTCCCGTGTTTGCCCGTGACGGCATAGTCCCCAAACACGTCGACATAGTCGTCGTTTACCTGGAAATACTCGCCCAGCGCCACGGAAAAGTCGCGCGTCTGCCGCAGATTCTTGGGCGTGGCGAGCTGCCAGTACTCCAGGGCCAATGTGACGGGGCCGGAAATGCTGTACGACGACTTGTCCTTGACAATGGCCCAGTACTGCTCCATGGTGAAGTTTGCAATGTCGGGCTCCCTGGCGGCAGCGAGATCGCACAGCTGACCCAGCTCGGTGTGGAGGCCGTTGTCGACGAAGAGGTCGACCATGTTGGTGTACGCTGGGTGCTGGCGGAAGAAGGTCTTGAGGAGGAAGAAGATGGTGGACTTGAGTATGCACGCGTCGTTGATGGCCATCAAGCCTATCTGCGGCTGCCGATACCAGCAGGGCTCGCCGCGCCGGGTTGTCGAGTCGTCCATTATGTCGTCGAGGATCAGGTAGTGCGCGCCCAGCATCTCTACCAGCCATGCGAGAACGGAGAGCTGCTTTGATTGTTCCTCGCTCACTTCATTTTTGGCAAGCTGCTTGCCGATGTAGAGAGTGGCCAGTCCGCGATGCAGCTTGCCGGTTCCGACGTTTGCAGAAAAGCACTACGGAGCGCAGTTGTGTTGGTAAAAAAACATGAGACCTTTCATTATGTACGTGCGACGTTGGGTGCTTTACCTGGCTGAAATGATTGACAGTTGCATCACCAAACCCCTCAGACACAAGGTATTGGGTAACCGTGGCGTCTAGGCTGGCATACGCTGCCCGCAGCTCGTGTCTCAGGGCATCCATCTTCTTGGGTCGCACCGAGGGTACTTCGTATGGAGTGTTGGTTACGAATACACGGACGATATTTATGGCTTCATTGGCCTCGGATTAGATGGAACTTGATGACAAGCAAGCACTCAGAAAATCTAGATCAGTGCTGCAGCCCCTCCGGTGTTGCTCACATGCATCTCTGATCCGGCCCACAAGCGAGCTGCAATGCCACATGAATTGTTGACGTGGTAATCACGGGAATGACGCGCAACGATACTGCTTTATAGCCGTCAATGCAGACGGAATAAGGGTGCAGTATATTATCCACGTGCTGTTCAAGGCCCCAGCAGAGGATGGTGAGGCTACCTGAGCTTGGCTGCATCATGCTGCTGGACTTGGACAGCCAGCAAGTGTCTGCATGTGGTATCACATGGTCTTTAGAAGGCGCTGCTTAACTTTTTTTAGAGCCTGGTCTCGTGGACTGATATGCAAGTCTGTCATTGAATCCTCTTGACTTCGGACTACTACCAGTTGACAGTGCTGCTCTTTGTGTCTTTTTCTAAGACTACATAATGTGGCAACATTCTTCGACCGCGGTAGGAACTCGACTCAGATTTCACAACACTGGTAGTCGGCGTACTCCGTATGCCGCCGGAAAACACAGCAAACAGTATAAGTGGTATATGTTCCGCAACGGTGGACAGAACAGGAGTAGTCGGCAGCTACTACTGCAGCAGACTCCAATACAATACCGCGGGATCATACAGAAAGACACTCTGCTACTATTCCGATTCCATAATGCACAACGCACCTTTCCTCCGTGGACGAATATTCGCCGGCAAGTTCTACTGTGGACACGGGATGCGATTGCCTGAGATTGACCTTGCGACATGAACCGGTCTGCCAGGGTGTATCGTGTGCCATGCAGAGCCGTGCTGAAGGACATCTGGACAGAGGCAATGTTCATTAATGAAGGGAAATCGAGTGAATGTATTGAATCGACGAGAGCAGTAAGCATTTGTACGCACCAGCCTGCGCAACACAATAATCATACTCGCCCTCATCGCGACTCATCCCCCTGCCGAGCAATTCGTGTAAAAACACGGAATGCTGCAGCACCAGGGATCAAAGGCAAAAAGGAAAGGGCAAATAAACACGCAGCAGTCGAACCTCCCAAGCTTGGCAGCCCAGAACCAGACGCCCAGCGATGAATTAAGCAACAGGCTAAAATGAGCACCATCAGATGTCGAGTATGACCAGTTGGTTGGCGATGATTTGAGGCAGTGACGCGCCAGATGCAGAAGTCGCCGAGGGAGGACAGGCGAAGTTACATGTGTTTCAATGCTGTTCTTTCCCGGCCGTCTGGTTGCTCAGTTGACCTCTGTGGACGCTGGCGACTGCGGCGCCGCACCTGCCTGATCATCCCAGTGCCTGCATGTGCTTTTATTCGCGATTCGTCCCCCTCGGTGTTGAATCTCGTCCTTCGATTCCTTGGTTTCTTACTGCTTCGTGTACAGTCACTCGCTTCTGCTGCCTTGGATACCCTCGAGTGCTGTCGGACCGCGCCGACGTTCAGGAATCAAGACAGGCTTCACCCGGCTCGGACAAGCATCAACTGATCTCCAAACGCATCAATAATACCACCCTCGCTTCACGATTCAAACCAAGGCCCCAAAGCAGTCTTCCCAGATGGAGCAGCAACAGCAGGCGCAGATGAATCCCCAAGGGCCCGTCACATACATGGCCGCCCCCCAGCCGTTCCAGCATCCGCCCCAGTCCAACAGGATAATAATTACAAGTGTCCACGTCCTCGTCATGGCCATGTCCATCATCGGCATGGGCTTCGACTTTTCACTCGTAAGAATAACCGGGGGGATGTACCATGTCTCCGCCGCGGTTGCTACTCTCCTAGTACGTTGTCGTCCTTATATGTCCAAAGGACAACTGCTAATATGCTCCCTAGTTCATCATGGCCTTTTTCTGGAGCCTCGCCGAGCTCATTGTCCGCGGCAAGTGCAACTGGAAAGCCGGCATCCACCCAGGCGTCCACGTCGTCGTCTGCCTGGTCCTCTCGCTCTTTGCCGCCTTTATAGGCGCCACGCTCGCCACCTCTGCCGCCTTGATTTGCCCCAACAGCGACGGCTGGTGCAAGGATAAGCGTGTGTCACCGATGGTCGTGGGGTCCCCCGTCGTCGCGCTGCTTCTCGCCGCCGTCGAATTCATCCTCTTCGTCGTCGCCTGCGCCGACACCCTCGCCCTCATCCGCCGGCTGCGCAGCGTCGCCATCGCCTCGAGGCCGTACTCGGACCCCCCTCCCCAGTGGTGGTAGGTCGCCTCCGGCCATCAGCAGCAGCAGCAGTTCGTGCCCGCGCCTGTCCAGACGCAGCCTGCCGCCGCCGAGATGGGAGGCGACGAGAAGGACCACGCAGTCAGGGAGTTTTACAACCCCGGTACAGCTCAGTAGTTGCAGACCCAGCCTGGAGTGTATTGACACTGGGAGAAACCTTGAATTCCAATATAGATAGATGCCCACATAATTAGTACCCGCATAGACATGACGCATCACCTAATACATACATGAGTTAGTTCACATACACGCGCAGTATTTCTCGAGTACCAACATGCATTATGAATAGCAAGTCAAAATTCTGGCCTCGGAACAGACATCCAACGCCCAGACCTTGCCGCCTCCATTGTAGAAGAAATGTCAGCGTACATGTATGTACCACAAGCCGCACCATGTGCCGCCTGGCAGAACCAGAAGGCACAAAGTACTACCCCAACATGCGTACATATGTAGCACCACGGCCTCACAAGCCCCTATATAGAAAACCCACGAGCCAGCCACCTAGGCACTGTGCAACTTTGATATCGTTCAAATGCCTGGGTCTATTCACGGCCGCGCCGCTATGGCAAGAAACTGTCGCGGACAGGACTGGATACAAAGTGGCAGTCCAGTCAGCGTACACAGTGGCCACAGAGAATAGTAGTAATTAACAAAATATTCTATCAAATACCAATTAAATATCAAAGGTAATACAGCAAATGAAGCTAAACAAGTACCAAATATGACCAAAAAAAAAGAGGTATTCCCAACGCCAGTCCCTGTACAGAGTCGATAAGACAAGGGTATTCATCGCCACCAGCGGCCTTTTATCGCCAGACATAACATTGAAATGTTCAAAAGTCACCCGCCTCTTCCCAGCGCTTCGTGCTAGCCAGCTTGCGCATCTTCTTGGGGCTCCCGCCGGCAGCACTCGCACTCGCACTCGCGGCCCTCAAGCTATCCGCACTCACACGCATCCTCTCCAGCTTCCTGCCCAGATTAGCCACGCCGTCCTTGGAGGAGGTCGCCGCCGCGGGCGAGAAATCATCCCTCTCCTCAAGGGGCTTGCGCTTGGTGGGACTCCGACCGGCCAGTTCGCGCTTGAGAATGGCGTTTTCCCGCCGCAGACGCTCGACTTCTTGCGTGAGGTCTTCCACGAGGACATTCTCCTTGTCGCACTCGCCGTCGTCGAGGGCATTTTCCAGACCGCGCTCGAGAATGTCCACCTTGCGATCCCAGTGCTCTTCGTTGCGCTCCTGCTCCAGGGTCAGGGAGGCCTTGAAGCGAGACAGCTCCAGCAGGAGGCGCTGCTCAAACTCTGTGGCACACTCGTCGCGGATGGCAGCTTCGAGGTCGAGCATGCGGTCTTCCATGCTCAGCAGGTGCGCTTCGGCCGTCATGCGTGCTTCCAGCTGCTCGTCGACTTCTACGCGGAGCTGGTCGATTTCGTCGCTCATTCTGGCAATTTCCAGTGCGGCAATCTCCATGGTTGCGCGCTCGTCCACATTCGTGGGCGGCGTGTGGTTTCTGTATGATGCCGACGAACCGGGCGGCACAAAGGGTCGGGGGTGGTGTTGCACGGGACTGACTGGTCGCGGATTGCCAGTCGGCGGCGCTTGAGCAAGAATCGTAGCCGTGATGGATGGGATACGAGGAACCGTCACCTCTCGTGCCAGAGCGCTGTACCGCAGAATCTGAGACGTTGCGTTGAAGTCGCCCCTCGGGTCGGCAGTCACAATCATGACGCCTCGCTGAGGATTGCGACGGGGGGCGTGAGGTTGCGCTGTGGAAGACGAGGATGGAAATGAATTGGAGAAGAGCAATTCCGTCAGTTTGCACTGGCGATATGGAACAACATTGGGCTGACAGAGTTAGCATGGCCACAGGGATACAATCCTCAGCAGATAAAGCAAGCTCACCTTGGTTGACGACGACAGCTCGCTCTGCGTCTGCAGACACTGCCCCAGATACATCAGACTCTCGTTAATCTTGCCAGCTTCAACCAACGTGGCACCCTGAGTCTTTGCCTCTCGAGCACGCTCACTGCCGGCCAAGTCGACAATAGTAAGCTTGCTCCCGCCCCAAGGCCCAGGCCGCCTGCTTCTGGTGCGCTTCTTGACCTCGAAGCAGAAGAAGCCGTGGCTCCGGCTGGAAACGCTGTTGCTGCCAGTACCAGCAACCCGGCGCTCCAAAAGGCCAGCCTCGAGCACCATGATGGCATCCTTGAACGAGGCGCAGACTACCTTGCGCAGGCCGGCAACAACCTTTCGGTCGGGAGACAGCTCCGTCGACTTGAAGAGCAGAGGCCGTCTGCGAAACTCTTTCGTGGCGGCCGACTTGGTCGCAGGCGTGAGGAGGTCGTAGATTCGGTCGTTGTGGACTTCGTACATGGACACGACAATGGCGTACTCGGCAGACGAATCACACGAAATGTTGATGCCGCTGATGTCGGGCGTCTGGGGAAGCGCAGACGGTCGGGCAAGGTTTCGTCGCGGTCCAGGCGACATGACGCCGTGGTCTCCCTTTACTCCCAGTTTAGTAACATTCTTCACACGCGCAGTGGCAGTCAGGGACATGAAGTGCCTCTTGCTCTCCCTCTCCCGCTTGGGAAGCGATGCAGCAACGCCAGCATCCTGGCTGGGCGTGAACGTGAGCAGACCACCTTGTTGTTGAACGAAGCTATCCTACTGCTCCTTCAGCTTGCGGTTCTGCTCCGTCTCACTGACAAGCCTGACACTTTTCGGGCTTGACGCAGCCGAATCGGGGTACGTCCCTGGGATCTGGACTGCCAAACCACCCTCGGGATACGCGCCGCACGACGACTCGGGAGAGCGGACAAAAGAGACGCGCGGCATGGATGGTCGTACCAGCATGGGCGTTGCCGCCCGCGAAGGGCCTCGCGAGTGGCCCAACGCATCGGAAAAAGCAGATTCAAGAAAGCACGACGCCGCCGAGAGAAACGACTCTGACGGATCGCACGCCTGGAGGGATTCGATAACCGAGGGAAGTGACGTCGACTCGAGCATGTTCGGGCCAATGGATCGGAAAAGAACATCGAGGGCAAGCTGGGTCAGGCCGCGCTGCGACTTGGATCCCAAAATCGTGTGTGTCTACAACAGCCCTCCATTAGAGATGCACTCGCCCCGTTGCTTGCTTGCGTGGGTGAGGAAAAAACTCACCTTTCCTGAGCCCGTCACTCCGAGCGTCGCAACGACGGCATCCGTCCCGTCGCCGCCCCGGGGGGCCAACACACCCTCGGCCAGAGAGGCAATCTCGGTGCAGTGGAAAACATCCAGCTGTGAGGCATCGTCCTCGAATACCCTGGTAAAGGCAAACTTTTCAATAGCCCGCCGTCGATCGGTCGGCGGGTTCAGCGTAATGTGCGACGGGTGCGACTTTTCCTTGTCCTCGGGCACCTCGATGTTCAAGATGCGATCTGGTGTCGAAGTGGCGCCGGCCGGCGGCGGGCGAAGACGCAGGTACACCTCGAAGAGGTTGTGGGATGATGGTTTGGGAGGCGCTTCCATGGTTGGCGGCGCAGTTGCAAACCGATGGGATGGATGGTGTTGGTGATGCGTCGTCGGTCAAATCGGATGCTGCGTGGAAGGATGCACGACTAGAATATGGACAATGATGATGCTACCTGCCAGGGGAGCTCTGCAGGTGGGAGAGAATAGAAACAATAGGCCGGGTGTATGCAACCTTGGTCGGTTGACGAAATGGGTCGAGCGTCGTTGGTCCACTGTTTACTTTTGTCTGGGATCGTTGGTGTGGCTGGCCGGGCAACGGGGTCCAGGTCTACGCGATTCGCGCCTTGCATTTAGCGTTGAGCGAGGAAATCTGGGATCGCGCATTGATGGGAAAAGTGAAAAAAATAAAAAAATAAAAAACAATTCACTGCTGGATTTGGTGTGCTCGTATCTTATTCGTTGAACTTTTAAGTTTCTTCCTCCTCTTCCATGTTGATTTAATATTCAGACTTCGTAATTTTCTCACGTTTGCCCAACTCCTTTGGGGATCAAGGACGCGTCGCCTAAACCCAACCGGAGGTAAATAGACTCGGTTGCATTTGTGCTTGCTTTCCAACCTGAACTACATGAGAAATTACAAACAACCTCATTTCAAGTCGCCAACCCGTCGTAGGTTTGTTTTCTCAACGCCCAGTTGGCGCTGGCTGGTTTACTCATTCACTACGCATAACGCTTACCCTATAGCAAGGCTCGAAATTGGCTGCCATGTTTTGACTGTGAAGTACTCTTCCAGAACAACATGGACGTCCATGGCGATTCTCAACTGTACCCGACCATGTTATGATGAACATCTGGATATATCTAAATAGCAATTAGGGAGTATGCGAACTACCCTTCTACGCGGCCCCAAAGGCCACTCTGCTCATCGAGAACGATGCGATTTGAGACCCTTGGAACTGACAGTCTCTGCCTCGCTTCCTTCTGCCCGAATAGCGTCGACTGCGCACCTCAAGTGCGCACTTTGAGGCATTGATGCACGAGTGCGGTGCGCGCTTGGGCCTCTGGGCAGTCCGTCAGATGCCCAAAGACAAGTTGACATTGAATTCTATGGACAAGAGCCGCGTCCAAACCGGCGTGTGACCAACATGAAATGTGCTCATTTCAGGCAACAGTGCACACATGGATGGATCGCCACTTGTGATGAAGCTCGCCATGTGTCACAAGCACTTGGATATGGCAACATGGAGCAAAAACAGGAACTGCTTCTATGGACACAAACTTGTGTCATGGTCAGCAAATATGTGACCAGGCCCTGCTGTATGCTGACATGAGCGAGTTGGCCTTCAAATGTCTGCGGCTGAGCGGTGTAAAGTTCCTGCGTATCAAATTTCCCTGCCCCATTGCACCGTCTACATACGAACATTGAAGCCTTTATCACTGGCGTTGCGCTTACAAAGCCGACATTGTGCTATTTTGAACAGCGTATGACAAGGTTGCTCTCCACTACCAACGATGATGTGAGTCGACGTATAATATTGACTAGTTGAAAGCAAGAGGTCAATATTGCTGGGGCTGTTGTGTCAGTGCTGGTATTTCTGTATCCCCGACATAGAGCTGAAGACAATTATCTTGTTGAGACGCTAGAGCCCCAGAAGTTGGCTCGTCTGCGTATTGTTCAACGGTACGGGGAGGGCAGTGCTTTCGGTAAAAAGCATACTCGTATTGCCGCTTTCAAGAATTGTCGGTAATAGTGGCCACAATGCTTCGTTTCCGCCTCCATGTTGGTCATACGCCGACGCCTGTGAAGACCAGATAGGAGCATGCCCAAGTTCGGCCCGTTCAGGCCAGTTCGATATTGATGCTGGGAAAGCTTGATTGCCGAATTCCGAGTCAAGTGGCCCTAGCAGACCTTGTCTATCCAAGGAGTTCCAAAGCGGTTGAATAATATCGCCGGTGCAGGATGCACTCGGATCCGCCACTCGCTGCCTTTTCGCTAGAGGCAACTCCGTGTGCTTTGTAGTTGAAGGTCTCTTTGTGAGCTTTATAGCCTTCTCAAGCTCATCTCCTGCTTTAATTCGCATCTTCTTAATCTGTTGCTTTACTTCATTGGTTGGATTCTTGATTGCGCACTTATGCTGCCAGAATTGATTCATTTTGTAGAATTCCTTGTGGCAGCGTATGCATGCCTCTTCGCACGAGCAATCTGGGATAGCCACTGTTATGTTAAGTGTCAAGTGTCTTAACTGGATTATGATTACCTACGTTTTCCATAATGTCGGACGAGGTCAGGAAGCCTATTAAACGAGGATTCTGGTCCGTTACAGTCATCGGAGGGACAAACATGTAATAGCCGGTTCGTTACGTTTTTATTGCCAGTTTCACCCTCTTTAAGATGTACTTGGCCCTTCTCGTTGTCTTCGTGCACGGCGTCGTGTCCGTCGTCATATTTGAGATGTCGATGAAGTCGTGAATACAGTGCAGAAACTTCCCGCTAACCTCGATGTGTTAGATGATTGAAACGACAACAAACCATCTTGACTTTTTGCTTACCTCAAACGTAGAAGTTCTTTCACGAATCTGGTCTAGCAAGCAGACAGCGCACTCCTTCTGGCATCTCTCCATGATCCTGGTTGTACTGTGTCACGAGCGGTTTGGTTAATGATGGTAGACTGTCGAGTTCAGTCGAGAGCCCCTCTCATCATGCCATTGCATACCAAAAACGCCCGGCGTGTTGGTTGCCCATGTGCTCAGATGGACGCGCAGAACATGCCTCGATGTACGCCTGAATGTTGGTTTGCAACATGGCCTGCATGAGTTGGACTGGTGCGTACATGGCCTTGTGCGCAGATGAGGCTGACTCGACGCGCAGTCTTCTTGTTGTTCATGACTGTGACAGGTTCATGCCCAAGTTGAGTGCGCACTTTTGTGCGTAGCTCCCCGCTCTAGGTAGCCAAGAAACGCCTGGTTGAATGCCTCTGCATGGAAGACGCAGTGCTTGATACCATGCTCACATGTTATACGGTTCCCCTTGGCGGTTGGAGCATCTGTGTGTGCCAGTAGTCGTCCTGGAACTGGCAGGCAGCAGCCATCATACCATGGCCATGACTTGTCAACAAAGGAAAATGAAGGCCCTTGCTCGTCTGTACAACGTCACGGGGACTAGACGTTTCCAAACCAACGCGACCACCAAGATACATTTTGAACCAACCGTGACAATGCACCGGTCTGCGCCCAACACCCGTGGGAACACCGAATTTGAAAGGAGGCAAACTTGTACTTAACCCAAGAGAATCTCAAAGATTCCAACTTGTATGCTGTCGTGTCCAATTTCATGGTCATTTCTCCAACAGACTTACACGTATCATATTCAAACTTTACCTACTACTCCATACTCCGTACAGGATGCCGTCGGAAGTTAGACCTTGCTACCATTGTCGCAATCCATGGTCCACGACCTGGGTCGGCCAATGCACGCACTGCAATGCTAGCCCGTTTCAAGTCTGCAAAGATGCGGATTGCGGACCTTGGGCCAAAAAACACGATCCAAAAAAATGACCGCAGTGCTAAGGCTTTGAACAACAGTACGTCAGATGAGCAAGGTATTCATCGATATACTCGATTTATAGCTAATAATAAAAGTGTTTTGTCGAATCCAAGCAAAGTAAAATTGCTTGACAACCTCGGGTTGATGTCGGAGGGAACGGTTTCTTTCATTTCATCACGGCCTACGTATTATTCAACATACTCGATAGGCTAGCTCTTAAATTCATAAAGTGGATCCGCTCCTGGCCCCTGCTCTCTGTGATGAATTGTCCGAAATGCATAAATATCACAACACACCCAACAGTAGCTCCTGAAAACCCAATCCCCGCGATACTTGCTTTCTACAAGATACGCCTCCATTCTGCAACAGCAAGCATTTATAACCCTACCTTGTGTGCCTTGTTTGGTTTATTTTTCATCAAATATGGACACTGCTTCGCCTAAAATGACGTGGAAGACTTTTGAGCGCCGCGTGGCCATCTATGATGATAAAGTCGTCAAAAGCGAGATCTCCGAGGAGGACCTCATACATCGCGCGGACGGCAGCATCGTCCGACCCTTCTGGTCCAAGGAGAGATTGCAAAATGAGGCCGCAACCCTTGAGTTTATATCCAAAAACACGTCTATTCCGGTACCCAAGTATCGACTCTACTCCAAGGACGGCCTCCTTCACCTTGAAACACAATTCATTGACGGGGTAGAACTCGACGAGATCGACGAAGCGTCTCGACCAACCGCAATAGCAGCTGTACATGATCAGTTGACCCGTACAATTATACCGCAACTTCAGGAGCTGCGTCGAGACTCTATTGGGAGCGTTGACCCTACCCTTCCGGTAGTCCCGCCGCAGCGAGTGTACATGCGTGATAGACGACCATGGGAAAAAGTGACGTCGGATACTGATTGCTTCGTGCTATGCCACAACGATCTTGGTCCTCAGAATATCCTTATTTGTCCGTCTAGTTTCCAGATTGTCGGGATCATTGACTGGGAGTATGCAGGGTATTATCCTTCGTATTTTGAGATTCCTTTGTGGAAGACAGTGGGCTGGAAGGAGAGGTGGGACGTCTATCACGAGGCAGAGGCTCGTGAACTTGCGTTTTTTGGACTCAAGCGCGAGGATTTGAAAGACTGTATCCCGCCGCCGCCTTGAGAACACCAATATAACTTAGTCTTTTTGGCTCATACATGTTGCTTATTACAAGGTGGACCTCAAACATGCTGATTTATCTAATGTGACGCTGAAATTTGCACACCGGGCTGTTGAGACGGAGTTGGCAAGACTTGGTGCTGTTAAAGACGTTTGGCGATGCTGCGTTACTGGGATCTCTGCAGTCGCTGCTAGGGAGGGCAGCTCGACTGGTACTATGTTGCTATTGACGTAAATACAGACGCCCAGGACCACGTAGACGCATATTTCGATACGGTTCCAGTTCTGGGCGCCAGGTCCAGACCACGTCCGGGTCGTGGAGAGTACTGACTCCGTAGCATAACAGGTACTGCTCTGCGTTGCTGCCTATTTGCCCAATCCAATGAGAACCCTGGAATCACCAACGTCAAAGCTTTTGGTATGGATGTTGGAGGAACCTGCCGGGGAATCACTGTCCTGCTCCGCTGTACTCACATTGAAATGACGGGGCTGCTTGCGATAGGGGCTTGTGTTTAAGGGCTTAGAACAATATCGCTTTACCTCATAATTCGCTTTGATATCAAAGGTTTCCCTGAAGGTTTCGAGTGGATGACCCTTATTCATATCAAACAGCGGTGAGCAAGCGAGCACGGAGGCCGGAGGCCTCTACTAGGTCTCGAGTCCTTGTGTAACCATCGTCAGGTTCAAGGTCCGGCCCGTGCGTATGGCAACATGCCTGCCGTGTAATACTGTCCCTCTCGATCCATCACAAATGGCACAT